TGCCTTATTGCACTGTCTAGACAGTCTAGCTCTGTGTTGAATGAGAGTAAGTTCTTGGGCCTACCTGCCACATTCCCAGTCTTAGGGAGAATCCATGCAGGCTTTCACCACTGAGTGTGATGTTAATGCAGGTTTTCTGTACATGTTTTTTGTCCATTTAGAGAAATTCCTCCTCTATTTCTGATGTGCTAAGAAGATTTTTGTTTGCTTGTCTTTGAATCATACATAGACACTGGATTTAAAAAAATATTTTATCTGCATGAATTGATATGATGGTGTGATTTTTTCCCCCTCTTTAGCTGGTTAACAGGTATAATGATTGTCATGGGTAAATTTGTTCCTAGCACTAGGTCTCACATGCAGTAGGTGCTACATAAATGCTAAATGAATGAAAAGTTGAGATGTCAGACTTTTAAAGAGGGATCTATATGGTGTGGCAGAAAAAGGGAAAGAGAGTCATGAACTACCCCCCGCAATACAATAGAATTCCTAAAGAGTGCCCAGCTCCCAGGTATGTAGAATAGATCATATTTACCTGATTAGACTCTTAGGCTGTTTGGTTTGTGTTTTTTTCTCCCATTATACAAGTGAAACTCCCATTTTGACCTCCAGAGTAGTTGGGATACAGATGCATGCCGCTGTGCCCAGGTTAAAAGTTCTTAATGAAGCCTGACTTGTCTGTCCTTTTTTTTTTTGGTCACTTGTGCTTCGAGTACTGAGAAACAGTATAGACATGGAAAATATAATTTTAAATACATTGGATAATTTAAAAAGAGTTTAGATGAGTGTGGTAGAAATTTAGGGATATAAAAAATATAGAGAGATAGACAGAAGTATAGAGATAGACATGGGTACGTATAAAGTAGGAGCTCCAGGACAAGTAAAACTAGAGAATGGGGAAGAAGTAGTTTTCATAGTTTTGTCAGGAGAAAAGATAAACCTGCAAGTTATTGCCGCTTTCTAGGCCTGCACAGCTGAGCAGGATATAAAAAGCACGTCTACACCTTGTCATGGTATGTTATTGTGAAACTGCAGAACGTCAAAGGTAAGCAAAATTGTTGTAAAAGCAACTAGGAGGAAAAGACAGATTACCTGAACAGACTGGCAGTCAAATTAAGTAAACTTCAGTGCTGAACACAAAGACTCAGGAAAAATCAGAACTGGGTATTCTAAAGTCTCTTTCTTTGTTTCATACTGGGAATCAAACCCCCAGATTATTGAACTATGCCTACTCCTTACCCTTTTTATTTTTTCAGTTTGAGACAGGGGCTTGCTAAATTGCTCAGGCCAGCCTCTAACTTGTGATCCTCCTACCTTAGCCTCCCAAGTAGTTAGGATTACAGATGTGCGCCATCGCGCCTGGCAAGAGTTTGGATTGTAATTTTAATGTTCACTTTTTTCAGTACCTGGGGATCAAACTCGTATGTAGTCCAAGTGCTCTACCACTGAGCCACATTCCTCCCTCTGTAAAGTCCTTGTATTATTCAAGAGATGATTTAAATTGTTTTCTAACATTTAACCTTGTAAACAGGCTAGAAACTTAAAAGTTACCAATAAAATAGCTAATAAGGTTCCCTCACAAAATAAGAGGAAAGAACAACAAAAAAAAGCATGATAAATAGCTACTATGAAGTAAATGATACTATATATGTGTATTTTAAAAGGCAATTGTCTATTAATTGTGAATACATATAAACTTAGGGATATAGAGCAAAAATATAAAATATGAGCAGGAAGGTTATTTCCAACTTTGTTTATAGAAGGGAGACGAATGAGATCAAGGAGGAGTATAAGACACTTTATATTTGAGTGTTTGTTATTTTGTTAAAATCTGAAGTAGTAAGCCAGGGATGTAGAACATGGACCACATGCTTAGTGGTAGAGTGTGTAGCATGTACTTAGCATGTTCAGGGCATGGACCCAATCCCCCACACCAAAAATACAAAATAAAACAAATGAAGTGAAGCAGTTAACACAGCCTGGCCGAGTCCTGACATTTGCAGGCCTTGGTGTAAGAGTATAAGTGGAGACCATGTGTCACATCTAAACATGTGAAAGTTACAGGCCAAATAATTCATAGTTCTATGTCCTGCTGATGATTCCATCGTGAAAACTGGAGTGCGTTTCCCAACCACTCAGAAGGTCTGAGCCAGAGCTCCCTTCCCAGCCTCAGCTCTGTTCTGCATTTTTGGGGATTTGCCTGCATGGGTCATGTCCAGCTCTGCCCATATCCCATGCAAAAGCACCCCTTGGCCACCACTGAAGACATAGGCCATGTGCAGTGGCTGTATGGTCTACTTCTAGAGCTTAGAAGGAATTCAGGTTAGCCTTGGATGCAGACTTAGGGGTCACCGAGCAGGGATAGTAAGGTCCCCAATACTTAAGGTGTGGGGCAGGCATGAGCCATAGTGGACACATCTTCTTGGCCCTCCAGACCCCTCCCTGCATGAGTGGAAAGGGCTGTAGCACAGAGTAGGTCCCTCAGAAGAATATTATTTAATATTATTAAATAATATTTCATTAAAAACAGAGAAAGAGTCCTCAGTTCAATCCCCAGTTAAAAAAAAAAAAAAAAAAAAAGAGAAAGGGAAAAAGAAGCAAGTGCCATTCCACAAGGGAAGTCAGCATCTGGAGCTGGCTTCACATGTCCCACCAGCAAAGTGCAATGTGTCCTTGATCAGGTTATTTGGCTTGGCCCAGTCTCTTTGCTCACCTGCCCAGTGAAAGACTAGGTGGTAGGATTTTGAAGATATCTCCTACTGCTGTAGTTCAATGACATCTATAAGCCCCGTCACCAGGAGGAAATTCTGGAATGGCAAGGAAGGGGGAGGGGTGTGGTGGCAGAGCCTGGTCCTATATCACCCCAGGATCTAGGGAGAGAGCATCAGATATCCTTTTATGCAAACATATAGGTCCTAGCTGGCAAGGCTATGCTGGCTACAAATAGTGACCAAAGCAGGGCATCAATACCCTCTGTATAGAACTTGTGGCCAGTGGTGGGTGAGGCCCAACAAAGTACAAGCCCTTTGTCCTGAACCCAGCCTGGGAGCTGCTGACAGTGGAAGACAGAAGCTACAGAGAGGAGCAAGTGTGTTCTTAGGTACCTGCCTATCCCAGCAGTGCAGAGGAGTTGCTCACTTGGCCCCAGTGAGATTGATTTGGCCCACAAAAGAAAAAAACAAAAGGGTAGGGAAGAAAGAAAACCATCATGAAGGGACAGAGAAAGTAATCTACCTCCTCAGCCTGCAGACACTCAGCCAAGTAAGCTGCCTGAGGTGCACCCTTCACTGGTGATGAAGTAAGTAGCATTCCAGCCAAGACAATCAGAAAATGTTGTCTTTAGATGTTCACATGCAAAATAAATGTCATCCCAGGAACACCTCCTTAAAGGTCCCTCGGAGAGAGATGAAGGGGCTGTAGTCAGGGAAGCGACTCCTCAAATTCAAGGCCTGTGCAGGTGCCCTCGTGTTCCTGAAGGAAATTGGGGACATGGAAGTCTGCACCGGTGCTCTAGCAGCCACAACAAAGTTGCTTCCATGGCATAGGTTTATGTTTCTCACTTCTGGAGGCTGGAAGTCTAGGATTAAGATATGTACTGGGATGGTTTTTCCTGAGGCCCCTTCTTGGCTGTAAATGCCCTTTTTGTCTTTGGGTGTTCACATGGCCTCATGTGTGTGCTTTGTGTATGCAGCTGTGTCTTACTCTGCTTTTCTTATAAGGGCTCCAGTTTCTTTTTCTTCTGAGGATACCAGTCAGATTAGATCTGGGGCCCACTCGTATCATCTATTATGGGTTGAATTCAAATTGTGGGGGGGCATGCCAGGGATTTAGCTCAGTGTCACTGCACCTGCCTAACAACCACGAGATCTTGAGTTTGATCCCTGGTACAAAAAAATTTTTTTTCAACCCATAATAAATGTCAATGCCAGACTCCTGTATACCAGAAGCATCTTTCAGGAGCAAGCAAATGACATCCTGAAATGAAAATCAGAGGTTATCCACAGGGATGTGTTCAAAGACCCCACAGGACACATGAAACTATGAATGATACTAATCCTTGTGCATAGTGTTTTTTATTATACAAAAATGCCTGTGATAAAATTTAATTTGTAAATTATGCACAGTAAGAGACTAGTAGCAATAACATAATAAATTAGAGTAATGAGAACAATGTACGATGATGAAAGTATATGAGGTGGTCTTTCTTTCAATCTTACTGTACTACATCCACCTTCTTTTGATGATGCAGATGACACAATGCCTACAAGATGAGAGGAACTGAGTTGAATGATGTCCACTTTAAGCCTATGAATTGTCCGTTTCAGGAATTTTCTATTTAATATTTTCCCACTGCAGTTGATTCTGGGAAACTGAAAACAAAACAAACCCCAGGCTCTGAAGGCAAGGGGCAAGGACAAAGATGGAGCCTAGGGGCTGCAGAGACTGCTGTACATACCAGCCACCTTCTGGGATAGCTTCATATTTCTTCAAACCAACCGTGGAGGGAATGCTCAGGAAAGACAGGGAGAGCTCTCGTCCTTGAGTTTTAGAAGAAAACATAGATTTTCATTAGCAATCAAAGCAAGTATTGCATGGTACAGCCACAAGCAGCACCCCACCAGAGCCCTGCTGCACCAGGGAGCAGGGCTCTTCCCTTGGGGTGCACTGGCTGGGGCATTTGCTGTGGGAACATCCCTCTGGGTTCTGCTGCCTGTGGAAATGTTATCTTAGCCCCCTCCGTGAGGGGGGGCAGTATGTGGCTTTTGGGACAGGAGGTACTGAAAACAGGGCAGTTTTTGAAAGAGAGCTGTGCACTCAACTTGAGAGATAGCATCTACAGTAAACAGCAGGGCAGTCTGGGAAACTGAACCTTTTGTTGGATGTGGGGAGCCCACCCCACTTCATCTGTCTGTTTGATCTTATAACCTGAAGTCATCCACCAGACTCTTGGAGATGTACCCGGGTGACCTGGACCCTGACCCTGCTTGCTTTCCCTGCAGGATGAATGAGCGCGACCGCCTCATCAAGAGGCTCAGCAGAAAGACACCCCCAACCCTCTTCCGAGGCGGCTCCATCCAGCAGTGTGTCTCACGTGAGTAGCTCTACCTCCCAGGCAGGGTGCTGAGACCTCAGGCAGGAAGGGTGACTGGCTGCAGGAGCACAGGTGGTGCTGACAGTGACGGGGATAGAATGCTATTGGGAGTGGGACTCACATATACCACCCCAGGTGAGTGGGGCATGGATGTAGACCGTTCCCTTGGACCCAGTCAAATACCTGAATGACATAATCCCAATATGGTCACGTCCTTCTGTCAGCCTCACAATAGAATGTTTTCAAAGCTTGAAATTATATGTTTTTTAAATTCTGCCCTCCAAAGATAGCAATATAAGTAGACTTTATTTAAAGTTAGTACTGTAACTGAAACAATGGCAATCTCTGGAAGGAAGACTCTCGATGCCTTCCCTGGAAGGCCATCTCATGTTTAGGGTTGCCTTCCCCCCACACCAGCCCCATACCCATAAGGGTAGTGAGTGAGAGCCCCTACTTTGGAGCTCACACGGAGCCATGGCCTTCTTTTCAGCAATCCAGCCATTCACCTCCCAGCTGACGGAGTCCTGGCTGCCATCCCCAGGGCCCTGTGGACCAGCCTCCCTCTCCAGCCTGCCCTTCCTCTCCTCTGTGAGCACAGTGCAGCTTCTCCTCCCGTCCTCCACGGGAGAGGGGTTTAGGGGCAGTGTCTAGTAGAACAAGAAGACTTGATGAACACGAAGGATCCATGCACACACTGTACGGGTATTGATAGATCTGCCCAGAGGCCAGTTGAGCTCCACCTGTCAGTGGGGAAAGAGAAGGCAGGGTGTTGCCTGTCGTCACTGTCCTATAATCAATCCACTTCCTCTCCCCATGTGCCCTTGTGAAATATTCGTATAGGCCATGTCATGTGTCCTTGAATGCCCCACAATCCCAGCAGGTATGTGGCACTGGTCCTGAGAATACAAAGCAGAGGCCCAGGTAGGAAGAATGACTGGCCCAGCAATGCACAGTGCCCCGTGGGGTCTCCTCAAGCTAAGTTTGGTGGGATCCTCAGAGGAGTACAGTCACAGGGCTCTCTATCTGGAGTTGGGCTGTTTATCTAGGACCTGCTCTGCCACTCTTTTGTAACTGTGGGCATGCTATTTAATCTCTGTATTTGTAAAATGGGAATAATATGAGAACCCAGCTGGAATTATTGGGAAAATTAAGTGAGATAATGTAAATACAGTGCCTCAAACAGTGCTAGACCATAGCAAGAGTCCAGTAAATGTTAGGCATTGTTATCATTGTCATTATCATCATCATTATTATTATCATCACTATCATTATTATTGAGCCACAAGCTGGGCAACTTTGGGTGCTTACATGTTTCTTTAAATTTTTATTCCCAAGAAAGGAAATAGAATTATAATTATCTATATTCTTACGTGTGTTTGTGGTGATCTGTGCAAAGCACCTTCTCCATGCCAGGTTCTCTAAACCACAGCCTTCACACTGTGGAACCACGCTGCTTCTCCAATAAATGTCTCAAGGTAACCATGGAGATAATATGGGCAATGCACACACTGAAATCAAAGGCCCACTGAGAAATTCTTCGGTCAGTCATAAATGGCTTAAACCAACAACTCTTTTTCTTAAACTACATTTTCAAGACAAAAAAGGGGGAAAAAAATCTACTGAACCAATACAAGAAAGAGCATAGTTTCCAAATCAAACTATGTCTTTAAAATACCCAGCATCTAGTAACCTGATAACTTAGGATGGTTCTATCACTGCTAACTAGATAAGAGCATTGAGTTTGAACTCCAACAAGAAGGTCTGTATAGCTCCTCCCAGCCATTGTATGTCTCCCTGCATCTGTCCATCTGCCGTTTTAGACCTCAGCCTTGTCAGGAAAATAGAAGGAAACACTAATCTTCATAGTACTCGTTGGTTCCTGCTGTGGTTTTGATATAGTCTGAATGTGTCCCCTAAGGTCCATGACATTTAATCACCATTATGAGATATTAAGAGGTTAAAAATTTAATCCAGCTATGGCATTAAAGCAGTCCTTTAGGAGGTAAGTAGAACTACAGGAAGCAATCAAGGCAAAGCCTTCTTGATAGAATCCTGGTGGTTCTATAAGAAGAGGAAGAGTGTCCTGTTTCTTGCCATGTGTGTCATGTGTGCCTTGTTCCAGCAAGAATGCTATCACCAGATGTAACACCTTCCACCTCCAGAACTATGAAGCTTTGGTTCTTTATAAAGTACACAGCCTTGGCTATTCAAGTATAGCAACATGAAGAAAAGTAATATAGGTCCTGTGAGCCACCAACATACTGTATTAATAACTAGGATTCATATTTCTTTCATAGTCAAGTTTCCCCATTATTTCCATGGTCTTCCTCATTTCTGTGGATATCAGCAATCTTTGTCCAGATGGAAACTACTACTTTCATTAAGGGGCTGTCAGAGCTTAGATTCAAAGAATGCCACATATGGGAAATTTCATTGGAAAATAATGATAAAAAGGACATTTTGTAAATCTCACCAAATGTTCTGCTTAGATAAAACAAAAATACTAAAAGTAATTTTACTTACTTTTAAAATTTTAAAAAAATGTAAAAGTAAGTTTACTTACTCTCCCATCTCCTTCTACTTCCCCAGTCCTCTCTCCAGATTCTGGCTACGGCTGAGTATTTAGGAAGCAGGTGCATTACGAAGCCAGCCAGGAAAAGTTCATAGGTGGGGTCCATTGGAGCACATCCTTCAGGCCCCCATCAGGACTTTTTGGCTGTCAGCACTTCCTGAAAGATGAGTGAAAGTGGGAAATGCAAGTGCTGGGGCTTCCTCTGAGCTCCCTTTGGAAGTAAATGGCAGTTGAATGTTCACTAGGCAGACTCTGATTGAGTAGATCTTGCATCTTTGTCAGGCTGTTGGCCGAGGCCCAGCAGGTGTGGGCCAATTGAGTGGCTCTGGCATGTCTTATTCCAATAAAATAGATTACAGCTCTAACTCCCACTGCGACTGGCTTCTAAAATGAGAATATTTGTATGAGCTAGTAGAATCTCACCCCCTTCCTAGCGTGAACCTGCCAGGCCCTCCTCCTCATTCTTGAATTCTCAGGTAAGGTCAAGAAAATCTTGATGCCCGACGTTCTGGGATGCGATGGTAGGTACAGCAGTGGGAACCCAGGAGGGATATGTGGCAGTACCTTGGGGTCCTCTGCTCACCTGAGAGCAGGCTCTGCAGCGGGATGAGGCTCTTCTATGTGCCTGCCTCTCTGAAAGGAAGCCTAGAAATCCTTCCTGCCCCAGTGTGGCTGAGTCAGCCCCACCAGCCCATAACAGGGCCCTCCTGGCAGAGACCACTTGCACCATTTTAGGAATTCACACAGCCACAAGCTGAGAAAAAAACAAAAACTGGAATTGGGTGCCCAATGAGCATAGACATGTTATGGATAGAGAAGAGGATAAACCCAACAAAGTTTTATTCCCTCTATCTGAACAGGGAGGAGACAATCCTAAAAGCTACAATATCGTTTCCAAAAGGAAACCCCCCAAATGATTATTTTTAATGTTTTAGCAAGTCCCCTTCATTCTCTATCCAACCCTCTCCCCACAAAAAATGACCAAAAGAACATTGGTAGCAATTGTTCTAAGGGCTTCACTGTTGAGATGGGCTCTTCCCTAGCTTGGATGTTGAGGCCTCTTCCATTGATATAGAGTAAAAACTAAAACCAAAACCCAGGAAACTTGAAGATGTCAGGGTTACAAGCCAAGTAGTGACCAAGATGAGACTTAAAGCTTCCTTTGTTGCCTCAGTTCTTCAGGATCCAAGTGTAAAGGAGAGTGAGTGGAGAAAGCCACCTCAGGGTAGAAAATCCACTAGTCCCTACCTGTCTCAGAAGTGTTTATAAAGAACACTTAGAGCAACCTGGAGAGACCAGTGCTTGATCAGACCAACTCCAGTCAGACTGAGGAACCTCACCTTGTGCAGCAGCTGTAGCTGTGGTGGGAGGCAGGACCATCATTCCCACACACTTCCCATCCAGGGACAGCTGTCCTGTGGTCCCATCAGGGACACATCAGCCATTTACTAAACTGTTCCCTTTTAAAAGACCAAAGAATGAAAATTGTCCAAGTTAACCACAGTAGACTGCCTTGTTACGAGAGGACACGGTGTTGTTTGCTAGCTTTTGCTTTGAAATATCCCAGGGAGAGGCAGGTCCTCTTGGACTGCAGTGAGAATGTGGCACAAAGAGCACCTTGTGTGGGGCTTGGGATGGGAGGTGTGTGGAGGAAGGCAGGAAGCTGGAGCTACTCCTCCCAGTCGGCAGCAACAGTTTCTCATCTCTGGTGAGCTCTGATCAAGCAGTATGGCAAAAATCCGAAAGCTCTCAGAGGAACAGAGATGAGAGTCAATACTGGATCTTCAGGGCTCAGAAGCAGATCCTGAGAAGACTGAGCGTCTATGAGAATCAAAGCACAGCCACCTGCATGGAGAGCTCCCTAAGGAAGTTCAAGTGTACTGCCTGGCTTTGAGCCTGGGGCCAGAAGAAACAGAACCTCCCTCTCAAGGCCGGCTCCAGCTCCAGACTCATTCTTGTGCTTGTCTATGTGAGGTCTGGAAGCTGCTGCCCTATAGCTGCCACATGGCCGTACCTCTTGGCTTGTAGATTGTGTTTTGTTGGAAGTCCGGGTAAGCAGGTCAACAGAAGTCCCCTGGAGAAGACTCTTCTCTGACTGCTCAGCCCCCATTTGGCTAGTTCTGCCTTCACTGAGAGACAGTCCCTGCTTACAGCCTCCAGTTCCCAGCCCTCCTTCCTGCTGCTCAGCCCCTGTGTCCTCAGTCAACCCCTGGCTACTCCACAGTCCTTGCCCCCAGGGTGGTCCACCTGAGCTATCTGCAAGGCCTTCATAGATGGAGCCCCTCAGTCCTGGACTTCCCAGAACCATAAGCCAAATAAATTTCATTGTTCATAATCTACTCAGTCTATAGTATTTTGTTATGGCAGCAGAAATCAGACCAGACTTTCCCTGTAGCACCTCGCCACCACACCCCACTTGCCCAGGGACGCCTGCATGGTTACAGCTGTCTTCATCTCAGGCAACTCAGCTGTGATCTGCCCCCAAAGTGCCTTACCTTAAACCTAGGGTACTTGGGCTGGGGATTTAGCTCAGTGATGCTGCCACCTGCCTCACAAGCACAAGATCCTGAGATAGATCTCCAGTACCAAAAAACAAAAACAAAAACAAAAAAAACTTGGAATACTTCACAAATCACCTTATCACTGACCTCCTTCTGTGTGTCTCTTTCAGATGGGTATGCCTTTTCCCAAGAAGAACATGGAGCTGTTACTCAGGAAGAAATAGTTCGAGCTTATGACACCACCAAAAATAAGTCAAAGAAGAAATAAGATGCAACTTTTCCCAACTGCTCCAAGGGAAGAGATGCTGTTTGTTTCATCCAGTGTTAGCACTTCTTTGTCAGAAGAGACTGGTGTCCACAGCCAAAACAACCTGAAAACACATTTCTGTGGCCTTAGCCAACCAGTTTGTTAGTTACATATTCCTTTGCAAGCCTGGAGCACAGACCACAGGGAAAGCCATTTTTCCCTCCCTATTTGTCTGAAGCGCTTGGCCTAAACTTTTGTTTACGTTGTTATAAAGCATTCAACTGTGCTCTTCGAGGTGTGAAATTAAAAACACTATGTTTCACCAATATTTAAACATCATTACTAGTTGTTCTGGGAGAAAGAGAAAGGAGTTTTATGTTGCATGAAAGATCCATCCTGTGTAATTGGATTGGGGCACACTTATTTCCTGTTTGTTAACTCACAGATTAGTTCCAAGGAGCAGCAAGAAAACCTCACGTTAGGCACGTTGTTTACTCCCTTGCGTTCATTCCTGGCTTGTATGAAGCGGCATAAACCTCTTGATTGCAGTGAAATCACAAAATTCTCTGGTTTGCTGGGGGTAAACTCGAGAACATTTCTTTGGACCTCTGAGCCACATTCCCAGGAAGATCACTCAGCTGGTGCCCCATGCATTCTCCTGCACCTTTGTAGGTGCCAGCTGGCTGGCTGGTCCTTCCACTGTTGTCTGGGTGTTCCTTGTCCTCAGACCTCCGCCACGGGGCTTGGTGCACGCAGCTGGCGTGAAGCCCACCCTAAACTGCACTTTCCCTTGTTCCACTGCAGATTCAGATATGGATGCCAGAAATCCCTTCTTCCACCACTCATTTAATTCTGTAACTAAAGAGGAGAAACACTGCTATTTTACATATATCCTAGACATTTACCCCTTTCTGACAAGGGATCCGAGGGCCAGGGTGGTGGCGGGACCCTTCTGCTCTGCTCTGCTTTGGCTGTGAGTACACATCTCACAACCCTGATCATTGGGTCTTAGCAGCCACCTCAGAATCCATGCTTGTTTCTTAGGGGGTTCAGAGCACATTCTGGAATTTTACTGCTGAGAAACGAATTTATAACATGCTTGCAAGTGAAAGGAGATACCTGTCACTCTGTAGCTCTAGAATCAGGAGGAGCAAACCCAGAGGGACAGCAGAGGGTCGTGAGACTGAGGAAGCTGACCACAGAGGTCCTCAGAGGCAATGCAGTGTGCTCAGGATTGGAGGCAGATACAAAGAACATTCCTGCCAAATCTCTTCAGTAGAAACTCTCACACAGAGGCCCAGACAATTGCCATGATCAGCCACCTACGGACAAGACCTTGCCACACACTTTTAGTGAAAAGAATTCCAGGTATCTCAAGGAAATGTCCATTTTTAGTACTTCTTTCCTTTCCTTTCCTTATGCAGTCAGCTTTATCACAGGCCTGTCCTGGGTTCTGAGACCGGGAAGGGAAGTACAAGTCACTGACTTCCCCCTGCCATCCCCCATTCAGAGCTGGAACGGAGCTCACAGGCAGGCATGGGAGCACCTGGAGCCCTCAATACCTGAACCTTAGAGGCAGATCCCCTCCTTTTTGGTAACCCAACCAGATTTTTTGATGATTTAAATTCATCTGGGCAACTTTTACTGGTTAAAATGGCACAATTCCTTGAAGAATGGTGTGCTAACTTGGTAAATAAAACAATAGTGCACTCTGCTTCTTAACCCTTTATTTTTGGAACATCCACAACTTCCTGGATTTTGCAATAACATAGAATATGATTTGCACTCACATAAGAAAACTAATTCCCACTTGTGAGGTGACCAGGATAGGATACAGGGAGGACTGGAGAGCCACAAAATAGAGCAGTTATGGGGCTCAGAAAGTTTTCTTCCCTTCCTCTCCAAGGCAAACAAAACATGTTTAAATTCTAGAGCACCCAGCCATTTGAATCCCTAAAGACTCCCACACAGGGATGAGGACAGGAGATTAACACAACAAACCAAGGTGTGATTATTTATTGCACGTGCAGAAAGGTAATGGTCAAACTAAAGAAGAGAAAGGAAAATTAGAATTGAAAGTGCACTAGGCATCTTGACAATTTGGTTTCTTTCATCTGGGAACAAAGCTGATTTGGAAAGACCGAATGAAAACTCAATTCTTTGTCAAGCACTTAGCCCTTTCTTGAACTTGACTTTCAAATCAGATTTGTGGAGGAAATGTGTTTGTGTTTAGAGATTTTTTTTTTTTGCTTTTTATTTTATATTTTATATTAAAGTACAGTGTGCATTTTCTGGGATTGAAGTACATTTTCCTTTTCTTTGAGAAGTAGACTAAACAATCGTCACGATGATGAGGTATGTACACAAAAGAAAACATTTCTAGAAGGGATGCCTTTCTATTTATTCTCTCATGTGATTAAGCTTTTTTATAGACAAATGACTAAATTGGGTTTCTAGGCAAGGCAGCTCTCATGACGTGTGATATATAATATTTAACCTGGGCCAGCGAGGGGCTATGTCATTTGTCCTATCTTTAAATTGAGGTCAGGGTGTCACACACAGCCCCTTCCCAGGGAGCAGAGTGGACTGGACTGGGTTGCGTATCTGGCTGTCAGCTCAGTGGAAATGTCGCGTGGGACTTATCACACCCACACACAGTAAGTGACTGCCAGGACAGAAGGTCAGACTCAGTCAGCACTTCAGTGCCTGCCGGTGGGCTGGACTGAGTTAGAAGAACCCACCCAGGCAAACCTTTAAGCTGTATGCAGACAGCTGGCTCTTGTTTGAGGCTGACTGCAAACAGCAAGACAGGTCATTCTCTGAGTTTGGTTCTGGGTCCTGCCACACTAACACCCATTCCCATTGATGGCTGTAGAAAACACGTTGTGGAGGGAGAAAGAGGGACCAGGAGAAGCTACCAAGTTTTGGCCCAGAAGTATGAATAAACACGAATCGCTGCTCAGAGTGGGTTTTGTAGTAATTTGGGGAGTGTAGCTGATGTGTTTGTCCTGTCTCAAGGCAGAATATTCCAGATTTTTTGACCAGCATTATTTTCTCTCATCTCCCAATGCACATGTACACACACAAAAACAAAAACATGACTTACTTGAATCAGCGTACCACACAAAATCTATGTTTTGGAGAAAGTAAGTGGCATTTCTTTAACATTTGTCAAGAAATACTTTAAAAAGTGAACTAGAACAGCAGAGCTTGGCGGAGAACTCTGTTGACATTTTCTCTTTCTGGACAAGACTTCAGGATTGCTATAGGGAGCTGGCAGTGAAAACCAGCAATAACTTATCAAGAAGCAGTGAATGATGAAAAGAAAATTGATTCTATGTAGCTAATGTTTGAAAATGTATATGGCCATATGGATTACAGGATTCACGTTTGAATATTTTTAAAAAGAAAATTTTGACCTATAATCTGTTTGTTATAACAATGATCTCCCCATTTTTTTTAACCATAAGTAAGAGAATTTTCAGTCAGATATTCCTGTTCCTAAGGCTATATGTCTTAAAACATAAGTAGAATATAATGTTTGCAAAACTCTGCTGTAAGATAAGGTAGTCTTTAGTTTTGAACCTGTGAAAGGACTGCACAGTTCAGTCAGGGTTTGGATTACTGCCCAGGGTCATTGTCACAAACCAATTCAAGGAATGATTTAGCTTCACCATTTGAAATGTAGCCTGGGATCCATTAAAAAAAAATTTTGCACAGGGAAGCTGGCTAAGCACAGCCTAAAATAACAACTTGGCAAAGAAATGAGTTTATCAGGTAAAGTCAAAACATGGTGTTGCCTGTCAAACTCATTACATTCTTCATGCAAATGTTTAAATTAACAAATATAAGAATGAAGGAGATATTTAAAGCTCTCTCCTTCAAAAAAAAATACATCAGTCAGTTTTGTTGATGGTTCTTCATTGGCTCCAGGAGGTTAGTTATCTGTCTCAGGATAGCCTAGGGGGACATTATTAACTCATATCAGCAATGTTTCCACTTGAAAGGGCAAGGAAGGCAAAAGGGTTTCCAGCAGGTCATAGAAGTGAGCCTTAAAGACTCCATAGTGACACTGTTCAAGATTCTTAAAAGGAACGGACTGGCGATACTCGACTTGGTATATATCTTTCATTTATTCATTTTTTTCTCAGCATCCCAAACTGTCCAGCCGTCCACTTTTCCATGCCCACCGCCCCCCCCATGGATATGAATGATTTCTTCAGTGGAAACAAAGGAGTATGAAATCAGCATAAGTCTAGGTGGCCAGAAGCTAAAAAAAACAGGTGAGAGACAAGAGGGTCATGTTCACCCATTACTTCATCCCAAGTGTGATCCTCCATTGTCAGCCTAGGGCAAACATCTCTACACAGCCAAGAGAGAGAAGACAAAAGGGTGATTCTTCTTACATCCAGGCAGGCTCATTCTCCGGTGTCAGTCTCTCTCCTAGCAGCCTCCAGATATAGTTAGTACCTACTCTACTTTTCCTCACAGGCATCAGACCAAGAAAAACATGCTCAAAAGATTAGCCCACAGGCCTTTTTCTTCTGACCTGGCTAAAGAAAGAAAAGGGACCTGTTTGTTTTAAAAGTCAGAAACAAAGTGTCAGGTGGCTGTGATTTATGGCAGAAATAAGAAGAAAGTTGAAATAATAGCACTATCCAAATAACCCTGCCCAGGAAACTTAGGGGTCAAGAGAGCTTATCAAGACCTTAGTATAGGTAAGCTCCTCCATGTGGAAGGGAAAAGCCGGAAGGCAGAAAGACAAAGAGCAGACTATCAGCCTACTTGCCAAGGGAATGGATCCAGCAGTGTTCCTAGATATAACTGGGTATACAGTTGCAGGTGTAACAGAAAAAGAAAACTTGTCCAGTTGTCTTTCCTAAAGGTCCCTGCACCATACCTTATAAATATGTATTATTTTATGTGTTTTTTTTAAAAAGCCCCTTAGGATGGTGTGAGGGGGCTCTTGCCTGAAATGTACAAAGCCCTGGGTTTGATCCCTAGTAACACACACACACACACACACACACACACACACACACACACACACACACGTACACCGATACTCATTTGACTCATTTGGTTTTTCACCAAAACATAAATATAAGGATGAAAACTGCTCTCCTCTCCTGCTTCCTCTCCCATGTTGCCAGCGATGGCCAAGTCCAGAGATGGGCCAGGTTGCTTCCATGTGGGCCTCATTCTCCAGGGAAATCCAGGCAGCTACAGCAGCGCTGCCAGCTGCAGAGTGAGCCCATCATTCCTGCGTACCCGCGTGTCACTGCATTGCTGTGTTCGAACGCAGTGTCTTTGTGGAGTCTTTCTCATGCAAGGAGAGCCATGTGCTCTCCTGTCTCTTGTCACATCTGTGCTAGGATTGCTTAAAAATTGTTTGTGATGGGGAGGTTTCAGTCTGGTTATGAAGAGAGAACAGGCTGCAGGGGCATACTTAATTGGCTCCCAGCAGAGCAGTAAGTGCTTCCAAGGCCAGTGGGGTTTTTGGTTCCCTCCCTCCAGAAGTGTAACCATTTTCCTGACCTATTAATGTCCTCTGGTTGTTAACTTAGGCAGCACATAGAAGTGGAGCTGCGTTCCCTCCTGGAGTGAATACAAATGAAGGGCATCTCCTTGTATGTTTAAAGGTGTTTGGAGAATTTAGTGATTTGTAGCTTTGATCAGTCTTGTCAACTGGTATATGTCTGCACAAACCTGTTTCAAATAAATCTTTTATTAAGGTAAATGATTGGACTGTGTTTTATTTTGGAATTTCTTTTTCCACTAATAAGTAGTTACTGCCATCAGGACTTGGGACTGTCACACAGAGTTTTGTCTTTTTTCTTTTTTTTTAAAAGACTCCATGAAACTCCAGAGCAATGGGCCAGGCAGCACTGGGCACTGGTAGAGATCTGATTTGCAGGTGAACTGGAGCTCTATACTCCTGGGCCAGGACTGTCCATGAGAAGAGGGTCCAGGAGGTCACACTGAGTTTGGCTTTGCCCAATCAGAGAAAAGGATTGTGTGCAGACTTTCTTCCCTCCGTCCCTTCCCTCCTCCTGACTCATCTCAGTGTCTGTGTGGACTGAGATGGGCAGTACAGATTCCTTCACCGAGCTTGGAAGTATGACACAGTTATTTTATCCTCTTTCTTCAGTGCTAGTTACTGCACCCAGGACTTTGCACAGAGTAGGCCTGTGACATCCTAGCCTTAAATTATTAAAAAAAGAAGTGATATCTCTGTCTACTTTCTATAAATACAGATTGAACATCCCTAATCCAAAAATCCAAACTGTTCCAAAATCCAAAACTTTTTCAGTGCCAACATGATGCCACAAATAGAAAATTCCACACTGTGAAACTGTATTTCATGCATGAAGTTAGTAAAATATTGTATAAAACTATCCTTAGGAATAAGTATAAATGTATTTGGTATTTAGACTTGGGTCCCATCACCAAATAACTCATTGTGCACAAAGTTCTCAAAATCTGAAAAGATCTAAAATGTGATATACTTCTGGTCCCAAGCATTTCAGATAAGGAATATTCAACCTATATTACCAAAGGAGTCAATTTCATTCACCTATTAAAGAAATGAGTATCAAATACATATAGTCCAAACCAGGTGTGGCACTGCATGCCTATAATCTCAGTATTCTGGGAGGCTGAGGCAGGAGGATGGCAAGTTTGAGCCCACCCTGGGCAACTTGGCAAACTGGGAAGACTTCATCTCAAAATTAAATTTTAAAGGATGGGGAGCAGGGGTTGCTTTGGTTCAATCCCCAGTACCAAAATATAAAAAAATAAATGAAAAGCAAAGCATATCTAGTCCAGCTCACAACATTAAGCTTTCATATATTAAAAGTGGGCTAAGGGTCAGGGATTTAGCTTAGTGGTTCTGCCATCTGCCTCAAAAGCACAAGGTCCCAAGTTCAAGCCCCAGTATCAAAAATAAAAAAGGCTACATGTCCAAAAACATTGAAGATTGGCCTTGATATTGTCTTCAGCCACAATTAACTGTCCTTGACTTGAGATTCCCAAGTGATAAGGTATGTTTTGTTTATTTGTCTTGTATTTTGTTTTTGTGGTACAGAGGATTGGACCTACGGCTTTTGCAATGAATTGCGCCCCGCCCCTAGTGCTTTTTCGTATGTTGTATTTTTTGAGACAGGTTAGCCCCATGTTGTCCAAGCTGGGCTCAAGATTGCTAGCCTCCTGCCTCAGCCTCCCAGAGTGCTACGATTATAGATGTAGGCCCCATACCTGGCTTCAGAGTGATAGTTTTTGTTTTGTTTTATTTTGTTTTTGTACCGGGGATTGAACTCCAGTCCTTGTGCTTGTGAGGCAGGCAGCAGAACCACTAAGCTAAAACCCCAGCTCAGAGTGATAGGTATTTAAAGGCTATGCTCAGAGCCACAGCTGTGACCTGAGCCTTGAATTGGAATGTTCTGTCCAAGTAGTTTCAGTATTATTGTTGTTAGCACCACTTACAAAGTTTAGTCCTACTAGTATTTCTCTAACACTAAAAATCAAACATGTTCTTATTTGAAATTCTAAATTAATTGTAGACAAAAGCTTCCAGATTTTTCCTCAATTTTTCCAACAGTAGCTCTGCATACATTAAACCCTCTATGATTAAAAGCTCTTCTGCTAGGGGAGGTGGTGTAGCTCAGGGGTGGAACCAGTCATGCGCCAGACCCAACACCACAAAGAATTAAAGCTCTTCTGCTGACCTAACCCATCTGCTGACCCAACCCTCTGAGTGGCCCCATTGCTTTTCAAACGTCCTTGAGTGGAGGGAGTGACCAGCATGCCCATCTTGAAAACTTCGGTAATCAAAGAAAGTGCCCTGGCCTATACAATGCCTACTGATACTGGGTGCTATGTTTACATAAATGCAGTATTACTTTAGCCTAGGGGACAGTTCTTTCGAAATTCTTAATATTCTAATTTCCAAATTTTCTAATTTTCTATCCCCACAAATATTAGTGGTGAGCATACTGTAGGCAGGCAGGTACTAGAGGCCAAGGAGTCATTCAGACATGACAAAGTCTTGATTTCTACTGCCAAAGACTATGCATCTATTGGGGATGTACACAGAAGTAGATATGGTATCAGGCCAATTGGTGTAAGGACATGAGCTAGTGCTGTGGGAATGAGAAATAAGGAGGAATAACGTCAAATACTTGTAAAAGAAACAGAGGCAAGACTGACCCCCAACAATGATGCTTCTCACTCCAGTTCTCTGATTTTTCAAGGGTCGGTGGATAACATGGAAACCAAGCACATGAGTCAGTTTTCTGTCACTGTAACAAATACGTGAGGCATCAATTTATAAAGTGGAAATGTCTGTTTTGGTTGGAAGTTTCAGAGGCTTCAGCCCACGTAGTGAGTCCTGTTGATTTTGGGCCTATGATAAAGCAATACATCAGAGCAGGGAGCACATGGCAAAGCCAACCATTCACCTCATCACCTCATGGCACAACACAAGAAACAGGAAGAGGAAGGGCTAGAGGCCCAATATCCCTTTGGAGATCACGTCCTCATCCTCCCACGAGGCCCTACCTTTTAAAGTTTCTACTACCTTGGAATAGCACCAAGCATCTCTTGCTGTTTCAGTTCAAAAATTTATTTAACCAACTTTTTTTTTTAAAGAGGCTTGTAGTTTTGTCAAGGGATCCCCCTGGCTTAGTCTCCCAATTAGCTGAGACTATTGCATGCAGTCACATTTGGTTCAATCCAATTTCTTATACAGATCTCTGTTAAAACAACTGGTGTGATGATAGTCATATTTACTCAGGTAAATGTACCTACATCCTATGACAATTCCACTCCTGAAATCCCACCTGAGAAAACTGAGCACTTACACTCACCAGGAGGCAGGTTAAAAAATGTTCCTGTCAGCACAAAACTGGAAAGAACCCAAGTGCCCTTGAACAGTACAGCAGAAAATTAGTATATATCTTACAATGGGATGCTACATATCAGTAAAAAAAACAAGCTAATGGCCCATCCAGCAATAGCCATAATCTGAAGTGAAAGCCAGACAGGAGTCCACACTGTGTGATTCATTTGTATAAATTTCAAAGCCAGAGGGAACAAATCTATGCACGTGGAGCCCTTACCTTCTTAGGGACCCTTCAACTGGATTTTTCCTATCTCTTCATCTGAGTGATGTTTTATCAAGCTAAACATTATGTTTAGATGTAATGAATTGAGTAGAAAATTTTAAATGTTTCAGTGTTGTTCAAAAAATCAAATTAATTAAAATATATGAATGTTTAATTTTTAAAAATTATGTTGAAATACTCTCCTTCACTCCAACTCTTATCCTGTTATTCTTGCCACTTTCTGAATCAGTTCCAAAAGTCTTTTTTAATCTCTTTGCGAGGTAACATCAAAAGTAGTGTGATGCTGCCAAGTGTCATCCAGTGGAAAGGCAGACTCACAAAAACACCCTGGTGTGTTCTCATCGATTTCATTCATCAGATCTGGTACTGCATAACTTCTGGTGAAAGGTAGTCTTATGTGTGTGCATTCTTCATTCCTCCTGGGAAAATTTGGGCTTCTCCATGTAAACATAAAAATGCTCTAGAAGCCCAAACATGAGGCTTCCCTGTGGCCAAGCCCAGACAGCACTCAGGTCTCCCTGTCCCTTCTCACATATGCCCCAGGAAGTGGCCACTGGTGTGTTTTTAATGCCAGTGCCACCACCCACTCCATTCCTTGAGACTCCTCTGCTCAAGACGGGCACCTTGTGACATCACACAGCTTCCTTGAGGCTTTGATCACTCTCTTACTCAAAAACAGAAATAATCACAACAAGGAAGTGACTACATTTCCTCAAATTCTAGAAGGTTCACTGAGCCTTTACTGCTCAATATTTACTTAGCAATTCGGTTGAGGCTGACAGGAGCCCAGCATACTTGTATTCTGCCCTAATGATTGAAGGAGGGGGCCTAATTTTTCTGTCTGCCCATTGTCATTCTTTTTTTCTCAGATTCCGACATGATCTCCCATGCACAAGCCACACAGACATCTGTCCTGAATACTGCAGTAAGACACATTTTGCATATTTTAATAACACCATTCTGAGAATGCCTTATTCCAAATTCTTTCCCATCTTATCCTTGAATATCATTCAGACTTTCTCTTGAGTTTAGTCCATTTGTAAGCATCTAACCTGGCTGTTATCACTAATTAAGTTCTAACCTTCTTGGCTCTACCACTAAGCTACAGCCCCAGACTGATACTGATAGACTTTAACTTTTTCCTGCATCAGCAGAACTGATGAAAATAGGTAATTTCTACTCTTCAGTAGGCACAAAGAGCTAGTTAGTTTCTTCCTGCTTGCAATCAAAGGCCTCATTTTCTCTCCTAAAAATAGAATCCCCAAGAACCACCATGAACCAACACTAAGGGTTTAAATACTGCAGAAAATGTACAACAGCAAACTACATTTTTTATCTGTAAAGGGTTTTTTTCAATACACTGTAAAATATTTCTGAGTGCTTATTACACCTTACAGGATCACTTTTTGTATTTTACAAGAAAGATATACTTAAACCAGGTATTTGACCTTCTATTATGCCAGATTTCTCCAGTTCTTACCAAAACACAAAAGTTAGCAGTTGTTATGTTTGGAAAAACTGAACAGTATTCAACAAGGGGGAAATTTCGTGCCATTTATTAAAATGCACCTTTACTGTCATTGTAGCACTTTTAATTACCATGTACTAAAAGGAGAAAAACTTAAGACGATTTCAAGCAAGAGAAACAAGCACTCCCTCTGTTTTGAAAAAGCTGCCAAGAACATCAGAGGTGATACCTGCATGGGAAGGAGCTGGTGTGGATGAGGGAACTGCCATTGAGAGCTCATGGTCCAAGTCCGACTCACTTCCAGTGGGTTTTACCCTTTGAAATGGTTGAGGGGAAAAGTTAAAACAATACTTTGTGGTATAGGAAAATTCTGTGGAATTCAAATTTCAGTAAGGTTTGTCAGTAAGGTTTTGCTGAAACTCAGCCTCCCCGCTTTGTTTATGGATCATCTAGTGGCTTTTGTGCTACCCATGAAGCTGAACAACTGCTAAAAGCCCAGTATTTATTTACTCTCTGAGGCTTCATTGCAAAAGATTGCCAAGCCTTATGGTGCATGATTTCTAAGTTCCTTTTTTAAATTCAAAGGTGCTAGGAATTTTACTTCCTTAGGTAAGTAGGACTCCTCCATTAAAACAGTATAGAGAATACATTAGCTTGAAGATATCATGATAGCAAAAGAACTGTCTCTTTTGTGTTGTCAACATTTTCCACAGAATAAATAATACTCACTGACTCAAAGAACACATCTAACTTCCTAGATACTGACCACTTTCTGCAGTGCTGTTTGCTCTAGAGAGCAGTATTTATGATATTTAGTAATTGTGTTCTATTAACAGATTTACTTGACCATCTGAAAAAATTAACAAAAAAACATTTAAAAAAAACTCCCCTAGGAATTCACACCATAAAATATTTATTAAAAAGTAAAATGATTTCCCCTACCTTTGGTTATTAAAACTTTTGATTACCCTCATTCATATCATTTTCCAACAATGGTTTAATATGATTCAGTCATGACAGATGATAGAAGAATAGATGATAGATATAAATGTGTAAAAGACCACACCTTACAATAATTTGTTTTAATTAAATCTTGGTTTTGCTAGCAATTAGAAATTTTCTTGCAAGTATTTAAACATTTCTGTAAGTAAACAATACACAAATAAATTCACTTGGATTTGGTAATTCAGAATATTGGTAATGAATACAGAGCTTGTTAAGGTCAAAAAGGAGAAAAAAGTGAACTGTGGGAGAGGAAAGGCAATATCTCTTTGAAATACTTTTCTCTTGACTTAATAATAGTAACCACTGCCTGAAAAATTAGCCATATTGATGAGAACTTTTTAAAAAAACATAATTTACAAAGTAATTCATGCCTGAGGTTTAAATATCACCCCATGTCTCAGTTTATGGCTGAGGAGCTATACTAAGTATCTTTATAACACATTTCTTTGAACTTTTATACTTAAAACTAAAAAGTGTCTTATCAGATCTAGGTAAAAATACTTTTCTTCATTTATAACTACAGTAATTAACTTCCCTTGGCACTATAATGGACAAGGGATCTGAAAAGCAAACAGAACAAAATGCCAAGTCATACCACATGGCAAAATTAAAGGTAACTCAGCCAGGAGATAGTTTGTGATTTCATTGTAAAAAATCTGATTACTTCTCAGGTGTCACTGTAAAGCCAGAATATTAAGATACCATCAAGTTTCATTACTACACCACCCACTACTTCAAGATTAAAATAATCCCAGAGTCCTGAAATGTCCAGTTTCACTAACTGTATAATTTCTTTCAGCCTCTTTTTAATGTAGAAAATCATTTTGTTATAAGATCTTTACATAAGGTTTTTAAAAAGCACAAAATAACCCCCCCAAAAGCACAAAAATAGACTACATATATCTTTTTACAGCAAAACTAAGATGTGCCTGTGGAATACTGAGATTGATGCCTAATCTCACAGAGTTTGAATAGGTTTCTTTTTATAATAATTGTGTTATTTACCTCTTCCCTTCAACCTTGTATGCTCATTTTTAAAAAGAAAAAGTGGCCCAGGAAAAAGGGAGATGACAGGTATTTCCACTCTTGTATAGTTAAAAACAAACAAACAAAAAAGAAATAATAATGACAATAATTCCTTAATCTATCAGTTTATAAAATTCTGACAACCACATCTCAAGGTGGTCTGGTCCTGGTTTTCAGCTCTTTTTACCTAACAAAGGGCACTTGAGGGCTCAAGCATTTGTCGCCTACTCAATAACAATAGTCAGAGACTCCTACAGATACTGTTTTGCATCATGAATCAGTGATACACTGAATGAAACATACCCAGAAATGCTAATTCAGAGATGTTTTCATACAGTTTAGGGGCACCCAAAAGAATCATGCCATGAATACCAATAGGTACAGAATTCCACCTCAGGAATCCAACCCATTTTCTCTCCAAGTCTTGTGAAGGAAGCAGCCTGTGCCCTGTGAGCTATACCGTCACTGCAGGATACATCTTCTGTTCACTATTGGTGTGTGCGAAGGAGGGCTGGATCTGCCTGAAGCCAGGCTGCAGGCCATCCATGAAAGGGGGCACTGGCGTCATGGGCACAGACTCGTGCTGTACTGTGTATCCTACATAAGGTGGATGGAGGTACTGCCCTTGATGTGGCACAATCTGGGTGGCCTGCTGACAGTTCAGCACGGAGAAATTCGTGGGCATGTTGACATATACGTTGTTCATGGTCCCCTCGGGCAGGCAACAGTTGGTCTGTGACCTTGTTGGGGGCGCCCTGGCCCCCGAGTTGGCACTGGAGCTGGAACTTGCAGCTGTGCTGGACTGGCGGGAAGATGATCCCCGGGAAGTGCTGGCACTGGGGATCATGGGGATGGTCTCCATTAAGCGGTTCCCTCCTGGAGCTCGGCTCTGCTGGGGCTCCTGCTTCGGCCGGAGGCATCTGCAACAACAGGCTGCCACAAGGGACCCCAAGATGATAAAGGCAACAAACACTGAGCCAACGATGAGGAATGGCACGTAGATGGGAACTGGAGAGAAGGCCAGAAACACAACATTATGATTTACTGTAAGAATGCAGAAAAAAGAAAAAGAAAAAAAACAGAAAACAAAAAACAAACAATGACGGGCAGTGGCAATGGATAAAGAAGAATACTGAAACCCAGAATCCCAGGATCAGGCTTGTTCACATTAACAGTGCCTAACCTGTGCTGGGCTTTAATGATTGATTGGGAAAGGGCCAAGACTCTATAGTGTGGCGGATCAGCCCTCAGAAGCTAAGCTGTTAATATTTACCATTATGTTCACCTACTGCAATGACAGAGGCAAATATAAGAGTTCTGGCAAAACATAGAGTTAATGTGTTAAAACTGCTATGGTTCTAACCTTCCTGCAATAACTGAACTGCCCTAGCAGGTAGTTACAGGATCTGTAGAATAACAATGAGTTTAAATCACTTCAGTTTTTTTTTATATAAGTCTTTTACATTCCTTCAAATTTTCTTTTCTAATGGGCAGATAAATCAGTAATTTAACTGAGATTCTGAGATGCTACAATTTCCTAAAAGAGTATAAGGCATAGGAGATCAAGGAAGGAGAAAAAATAAACCCTCCACAAATCTAAAAAGTTGGTACCATAGAATCTGAGAGTAGTGTAGTGGTTTCCAGAGCCTGGGAGAGTAACAGGGAAGTAGAGCTAAGAAGTCACTGGGTACAAAGTTATTGCTAGCTAGGTAGGAGCAATAAGTTCTGGTGTCCAATGGCACAGTGAGGTAAGTAGAGTTAAGAATATACTCACCTTAAAGAAATGATACAAGTTTAAGGTAATAAATATGCTAATTACCCTGCATTGATCAATACCCAATCGATATATTCATCAAACATCACACCATAATTGAATCTGTCATGCTTTCTGGTGTGTTCCGCATTTCCCTGATTTTTTTTCCTTGGTATTAAAAATGGAACCCAGGCTTTGAGTATGCTAAGCAAGCACACAACCACCCTATTTGACTGGCAAGTACATGAGGACAGGACTCATTGGTCCTGCAGGCACAGTGCTAGCACATGGTCAGATGGGACAGCATTTTAGGAAGGAGGCCATCCCCGTCCCCTTGAGCTTAGAGTTGCAGACATTGACTGTCCTCTAGAGCCAGTTGTTTTCTTAATTATGCTCCTTTGACTGACTATGTTCCTGGAGTGTGGGTTTTTAGAATCACAGAGAAATAATGCCTTGTAAGTGAAACATACTTTAGAGGTACATACTTAACCAAAGGTTGGCAGCAGAAGACCATCTAGACTTTCGCTGCTGAACAGAGCCCGTTCTATATATACAGTGCCTGGCTGGGGTAGAACCTGCTGCAGTCTGCAGCACTGCTGGACCCACACCACCCCTATTCTAATTATCCTGTTACTACAGGCTAACTAGGGAGGACTGGAGCCATGGGTGCGAGCTTTTTTCCCTACACATGCTATAAATATTTCTCTCTAAATTAACATATCAGCCCCCAACTTGTAAATAAGAGGTAAACAAATGATAGTAAGAAAAAATGTTTTACCCCTAACACTACAGCAAAAACTAGCTGACAGCAGTCTCAGTCTGCATAATGAGTACAGGGAAGAAATTACTGTTCTCTTTCCAGGATTTTTAATTGGAAGTGTAAATAACTACACAGGAGTAAAGAATGCTGTGCTACTATAAAGCCCCCACCCCCAGCCCACAGGCTTAATTAGGCATGTTGTCCTTCACTGCAAAAGCCATGTGAAAGGATTTTTTAAGGGAAAAGTTTTAAAAGAAGAATGAAGATGGCACCCACGAACAACACAAGCTTCATAAGTGTGCTGCCTACTGATTTGTCCAAAGCCATCCCAACTTTTTAGAGATCGTTAATGAGCCCAACTTAGCAGACACCTTAATGTAGCAGTTTGGGCTCTGGTTGATTTTTCCAGGCTCTATTCAGAGCCCACACATTCTGCAAGGCTGAGTTTGCATCTTAAGATGGTACCTTTACTAAAATTCCAGAGTTCTCCTCTCTCTAGATTCAAAGCAGCCCAGAACAATGGGAGTAGCATGTGAATAAAACGCTTGACTGCATAGAGAATAGCACTGGAAAGTGCTCTCCTATCAGGCCCCAGAGATGGTTCTATAAACAGAAACACAAGATGCCAGTGCTCAAACAGCTCCAAGCCGGGGCTCAAGGCGCTGATAAAAAGTTATCTACCTAACTAACAGTGGCAGAAGAAAGAGGAAATGTCCCCTCTGGGACAGGCTTGCATTTTACCTCTACCTCTCCCCATTCCCTAAACACACACACAGACACACACACAGACACACACACACACACACACACACACACACACACACAAGGTGCAGAAGACTCTCAGTGGATTCAATTTGGAAAGGCTTTGAAGAGTTGGGGAAATATAACCTAGCAATTTTTTTCACAAGTGTATTTTTCAACTGTCGCTTTCACACTTTAAGAAATATGCAATTAAAAAGTCAAAGCCACAGAGAGCAAGGTTGGGCACAGCTCTGAATCATACCTACTAAGCTTAACCTGGTGAGGAGCACAGTCCAAAATCCCTAAGTAGGGAAAGGGGCAACCCACGTGGCCAGGAGGGGTTGAATCCTTAGGGGTTTGGTAAAGTGCATCACAGGAAAAGCCCCTCAAGAGCTGCCTGCCTTCTGCGGAGCATTCAAGGAAGTGTCCGTGCCAGGCTGTCTCAGGATAGGAAGTTAGCCATGTCTTTGGGTATCCTCAAGAAGTTAGGTGGAGGCATGGGACGCAGCAGGGGCAAAGGGCCCTAAACTGAAAGAATCTGGGAGCTTTCTGCGGCCCACACTACCTTAGGTGTGTGATTTTTCTTTCGAAAATCCAAGCTATGCTACACTTTGGCTGTCAGAGGGGGAAACTGCGTCCCAGGGTGGCGAACTGGTACTCCACTTCGCACAAATGAATGGGTGAGAAAGAGTACCGGTTCCACTTCCTGGCTGGAGGCCCTTTCCTGAAATCTCAGTGCTCCTAATTTCCTCTCTCTCTCTCTCTCTCTCTCTCTCTCTCTCTCTCTCTCTCTCTCCAA